ATCTCACTCGACGCCAGGAAACGGACTTTAAACGACTTTCAAAGTTTATTTTAGTTTAAAGAGTCAATAAAACAACTCATAAATTCTTTTTACATTAACTGAAATTTAGTGTAAATACCATTTAATGATAAAATGTAACTGAAACAGTGAAAATAATTCAGGAACGAAAACGATAGTGATTAGGATTAAGTACCATACACTTTGAAGGTCCCGACACGACTAAACCTACCCGGGGTTACTCTTTCAGATTTCCCGCTCCTACAGGGGTGGAATTTTCACGGCTCAGCTTTCATAGTAAACTAGCCCCATCTGTGTAACAATGCCTAAAACACTCGCTCTTCCTCCTCGCTTCTGCATTAAAACAAAGAGCCATCTATGTAAAATTTGTGGAACTACTATCAATTTGACACTTGAAACACCAACTGCCATCGTTGGCATTTTCTCTACACGTCCAGTTTGATACTAGATGGCGCAACTTGGACATTAAAAATATGTAGAACAAAGTAATGTAAATTTTTAAAATCTTTGTAAAAATATACATAACTTTTTCAATTACTGATTTTCTAACATATTATGCTAATCTTTATTGACTTTATTGTTATTTCTGCCGGAATTTAAAAAAGCTCCGAAAATTATAAACTACCCTCTTTCCAAAACTGAATGTACTGATACAAATGTTTGAAGTTGCCTTTCCGTATCTTATTTAAAATCTAACAAATATTATTATTCGTTCATAATTAAAACTTCCAGTTTCGCATTTTAGTATCATTTTCGATCTTTACTTTACGTGGGGTTGCGAAACATTTTCGGATCGTATAAGTATACCAGCTTTACAATCTTATTTGTTGTTAGATATGGCAACTACCTTTATTATTTTTGATTAAGTTTCACAACACTTACTTATGTAATGTTTTTAAGTTAAAATCAAGTTACTTTCACCAATTCAATTTAATCGAAGTAACGAAAAAAATCAATCGGTATATTTAAAAGGTAAGACGTAATATTATGAACACTTGAGACCTGCAGGAATTTACGATGAGTAATATAGTTAATTGGATTGCCATGTAGATTATTATTGTTGCTAATTTTTAAATAAATTTACTTGCATATACGATTTTATATGTAATTCTTTATAATCGGAGACACTCAATAAGTATTGTATCCGTATTTAAATTGGGTCTCACAGTCATGATACCTTTCATTGACACTTCAGTTTAAAACTTAGTTAACTCAACTATCTTAACCTCAAACTTCAGCTTACGGATCTCCAACAACGATCTCGGCGCTCCTGAAAATATCACAATACTGCTTTCGCTAATAATATAGCTGGTTAAACATCTTAAGAAACTCTCGCTAGATAGTTGAATTAAGGGCCTGATTCAAAAGGCATTCAAAGTTATTTTAGAAACCGCACGCATTGTAGGGAGGTTCCTGTCTGTGCAGCCCTGACCACTGGTTGCTTGAGTCATGGGATACCGCAGCCGGTGGTTCTCTATTTTTTAAATAATACGTTTATTTTGATATATTCATTTTTATATTTATATAAATCATGTAAAACATATTATGTAGTAAATAAGCGAATAAAGATATATGGAATTTAGCTGGTTTTATTATAAACAGTCTATTCCTTCAAAAATAACGTTAAACGTTGTTTATTTTAAAAGTGTATCCCCACAATGTTTTCAGTAAAAGTACTTATTTATAAAGATCGCATAACGCAAGCCTACTTGATATAAAAAATTTACAAATGTTTAAGGTACAAGGTATTTTATATAATGTTTAAAGTTTTTATGGTAAGGCCCTCTATGTTTACAATGTGACGGTGACACACATATTAGCGCCCGGCGCATAGAGGGGTCAGTGGGCAAGGAGCGACGTCACGTGATTTAGCCGTTTGTACTACGCAGCTTGTTTGTAAACAAATCTCCGACGACGCCGGGATGTAAACACTTACTATGCAGGGTTAAATTTAATTCATAACATAACCGAAGCCGACTTCGTTCGTAGACGATTGTTTATTTATAAGCTTACGGACATGCAGTATGCATCTCTCATTATGTGTGTACTTGAACAATATTTTAACTTTTTTATTGACCATGGAGTGAAGGACAGTAAAGTGACAATCTGTTAGTATTCATTTGAACGTTTTTTTTTAATAAAACGGTCAAACAGGCAGTGGTAACACCGAGATGATCAACGAAGCCCATGGACATGCGCAACACCAGAGGAACTACAGATACTTTGCCTGCCTTTGAGGAAATGGTAGGTTCGCTTCTTGACGGACCCTAAGTCCTATTCGTTTGGAAATACCACCGAGGACAGACGTTTGTCATAGTGTTTCTTTGACAGCAGTTTTAAAATAAAAGGCGGAACGTTTATTAGTATTATACTTTTTAAGAAAATAGCGTTAACGAATGAACCTGAAAATCAACTCAGTTAATTTTAATTAAGAAAGTGAATAATGCTGCTCTTAATTAAACATAAATTAAAATATCTTTGGCAAAACAGACAACCAATAGTGAGTATTCTATACACAAAATAGAGTCAGTACATGAATAAAGGGAACAGTTGTTATTTCCAAGTCGATTTATGAAATAATCACGTTTGTTTTCTTTGTTGTGACGGGGATCATTTGAAAACAACGAATCACCTTACTTCGATCTCAATGCATTTATGTATCGGGATAAAAAGAGTGACTATAAAGTACTTCGACGGTAAACACTTACGCGGTACAATAAGATCCATGTGTTGATTTTCATTGGTTATGTTTTATATCTAACTAGCTGTTGCCCGCGACTTCGTCCTCGCAATATTAAGATAAAACAGTAGCCTATAATATGCCCATCTATGTCAGCTAGCCTTCAGAGAAATTTCGGTCAAAATCGGTTGAACCGTTTCGGAGATTACCCGGAACAAACGGGGCTTGTGGACAGACAGACAGACAAAAAATGTTTACATGCAATTTTCGTTATCAGCAACGCAAATACACCATCTTCCCGAGATCTGGAATTTTTCTTTTAATGTTAGACACTCCCAATTTAGTGTTAAAAAAGGGTGCTATCAATTCATGAATTTACATATATTGCAACGTATCTTAAAGCATAAATAACTAGCGCTTAGACTTAGAGTGTACCTGTGGTTCAGATTATAGCGCCCTGGGTGTGATTTCGGTCGTCCCTTTTTTACCATGAGTTGGGAAAGAAGAGTCAACAGGCATTTATGAGATCATGTAATTCGCTGATTTTTGCGCTTTTTTCAATTTAGCTCCTAATGCCAGTATCGTGTAGTCTAACGGCCGGTCAGTCACCCCTATATTGTTTAAAAGGAAACATAGGGTTTCCGAATCTATTGTATAGCGTAAACATAAAATCTTTTGAAACTCATGTTAGGCAGGAATATGAATCATAATTTATATAGCTTTCATCTTGGCGGCGCTGCGTGCAAAATTTTTAGGTGTAGCCTGAAAAGTGATGCAAGAGGAATACGCAGCACAATATGAGGTTAGCCGTATCAATGGAAACCTACTCTAATATTTCACCATTACTTTTATCTTCAAACCCAATGCGTCAGCTGAAAGATATTAAATGGTATATGATTAGCTCAACCCACGTAACACGATTCATGTAAATCAGTAGTCATGTTTCATAAAGAATTCGCGCACAGCGATTTTTTTTTGCTGTGTGCAATTATAATATGGACAACTAGCTTTCGCCCGCGACACCGTCCGCGCGAAATTAAAAAAAAACAAAAGGGAGTAGGAGTAGCTTATGTGTTCCAGAGTATCCTCTATATTCGTACTAAATTTCATCGAAATCCGTTCAGCCGTCAAACTTTAACAAACATCCATCCATGTAAACTTTCGTATTTATAATATTAGTTAGATATATGTAGAGTGGTCTAATTGCACTCAGATTGCGGTCATTAATAATTTTTTTAAGTTACGAGTTACGACTGTTTGTTAGTCCGATTGGCCCAACAACTGACAAGTAAAACAAGATGTACTCGTAATTTTCTTACGTGTTATCCATACTAATGTTATAAACAGAAATGATTCGTGTTTTTGTATTGAAATGACTTAAAAACTCCTGAACTAATTTAAGAAGTTCTAAAAATTCTAAATTTATCTGTGAGTAACATTGTCTATATAAAAAAAGTAAAAACCATTTTTTTTAATTACACGCAGGCAAAGTCGCGCAACAGCTAGTAAGACATGGTTCTTTGGTAAAACCAAGGTTTTATGGATTATCGGCATCCCTTGGTTATTGCTTTATCATAGTTTAATATGTTATTTTGTATCAATATATTAAGAGAAAAGAAAATGTTAATTACATTGGACTTAAAAATTATTCGCCTTCCTTTCACTCTCTAAAAAACAATCAACATTGCAGACGTTACGTATAGATTCTGGATTAAAAACAAAACATATTCACACTTACAAAAACATAGGAATAGTTTTTGCTATAAATTACAGATCTTGAATTGAATTGAGAATATTTGTTGATGTATTTTCCATAAGTTTCTGAGTTGAATTCTTTCAGGTCCAGTTTGATCTGGAATTACCGTTTCAGTAATCATTAACCCGTTATGCATTAAAACAAAACATATTAGGGAAAATCACAAGTACCTACTAACACATTAAAATCATTGAATGAACGTCTTGTCTCACGTTACTCGATTTCTGACATTGAATATATTATACAGCATGTACTATTGTACAATTTGAGCAGAAAGTTCAAGAGCATTAATTGATGTATTCATGCAGCGGCCGGCACTGCGACCGGTGACGGTCTGTGCTATGCGCGTGTAGTGTAGTGTACGTAGATACAATTCGCGCGCAAGGTTACGCGATGGGGGCCTAATATTACGCGCCGATAAACTGTGGAAAGAATTCCGTACTAAAACGAGCGGCGGCGAGTGCGGACGAGATGGCTACCGAGAGCAGTCACATCACACGACGACGCCACTTCTCGCCGTTCTATCGCCGCCCTCCCCCGCCCTCCTCCGCCCGCAGCTCTGCCCGCACCGCGGAATTCGCACGCCCGCCGCCCGCCAAGCCCGCGAGCCGCGGTTCAGTGTACGTGCGACTGTCCGCGCTCGAAGACGACGCGCCGCGCCACGCGCACTTTACTTATTACGCAGTTCCGAACTACGACGACCGCGTGGATCGCGCCGCGTTCTCGCCAGCGCTCTTGTTCTTCGATAACCATTCTTATTAATAATTTTTACTCCTCGAAAATCTAAGAACTTAGTGATAACCGGTGTCGATGCCGAAAAGTAAGTGCGATCGAACTGGAATATACGCAGTGATCTCCGGAACTACGAGCGACGGTGACCATCGTAGGCCGGCGATACGCCGTATCGCGAGCCACGTTACAAGGTTATCGCGCCTCTAGCCCGCCAGTGATGAATTGGAAAATCGGCGCGTAAACGCTCACGTGGTGCGCGCCCCGCCCCCGCCTCGTTCCGCGCTTATATTTAGCGAAAATCGCCTCTCGGGAACGGCCCGACGGGAGATAGATACGCTTCGTGCACGTCTCTGTTTACGAACGTTAGTGAGACGACACATGTTATTGGCTTCGTATAACACAGCCGATAAGGAGAAGTTAGATAACCTCCGGACCGCCGCTCGACTGCGACGACGTTCTGGAAATAGAAAGAAGTGCGACGGCTGTGGGAGCGTTGTGATGGTAACGAGTGGTGTCCAAAGGCGCCGGTGAGCGCGCTCTCGACACTCCCCTGATAAACTTTTCCACTGCTTAGTGATAAAACCGTAAGGACATGTCGTTGCCAGGCTGCGGTGGTTACCAGAGTCCATGGTCCTCGCAGACCGGGCTATCGGAAATCGAGGGTACGATGGGGGACTTGGAGCCTCTGGGTGAGCTCGCAGAGGTTGGCTTCGAGCCGCAGACGCGTGCTCGTTCCAACACGTGGCCGCTGCCCCGGCCTGAAAACTACGTAGACCCAGCTGAAGATTCCAGTTCCAAGAAAAACTCCAATCAGAACTTGACCGGTAAATAATAAATTTTGTCACCTTATTGATAACAGGGTCATATCTTTGCGATACGTCGACCTATTTAGGTCGCCCACGTAGTCAGATCGAATCATTGAATTCGTTCAAACAAAAACAGCGCTATACTTATTATGATCACAAATAAACAACAGAGGTCACTATGGATTGTTTACTTTTTGTGATAACGTGACGTTACTGCATACAGCATGTTCGTAAAAAAACAAACACTATTAAAACTAAGCGCAACTCAAAACCATAACTTATCGATGAATATCAATTTGATTTTTGCATAAATATGAAAACAATATAGAAACATTCTTTACTTTTAAAGTATTCCGGGTCATACGTCAATCTCATGTGTCGAAAAAAAAAACGAAATTTGTATTTCTTAGAAAAATACCAACTTATTCATTTTATTTTTCCTATTCATTGTATTCAGAATGATATAAAATAATGTAATACCGGTAGAATACCAAATAAGCAGCATGCATACGTATTACTTATGTAGGTAAATTAAAATACATGAGCGAACTATCCATATCTTATGCATTCGCATAAACAAACAAGGCAGGCTTGTTATAACTATGAAATTGAAGTATTTTTGAACACATCTACTTGGATACCATTAATTCAAAAGATCCTTTAATATATGGAAAAACTTCAAAGTTTTAATTTTCGTTAACTTACTCTTGCAACATCTATAAGGAGGGTGTTATTTAAAAAGTTTTTATCAATATCGTGATTACAATTAATTTGACAAAAGTCTTAATTTTGACGTTGCTGTATGCCCCCGTTTTCTATAAAAAATAAAAGTTCGTTATAAACTATTTGTAATAAATATGAAAAAAGTGATTGTTTTAAATATTTTTATTTAAATTATCAAAATATCTAATTGTTTATTATACAGAAGTAAACACATTTTCAATTGTCTTTTAATATGAATCTTAATTACAGTCCTCAAATAAGGATGTAGTACAGTTTCAAGATCTTGTTTTTTAAGTATCGAAGGTAAAAAGCACCCAAAGCTGGGTACTTTCACTAGTGCAGTATACTATGCGAGTGATATACATTTAAGAAAAAGTAAACTGGTTAATCAGCACTCGTTAACGGGCATTGCGAGCAATATCAAGTACTGATCGGAAACTTTCTACATACGTCCCCCGCGCTACTTCCCGCGCCATCCTGATACGGTAGAACCTTGATAACTCAAACCTCGGTAACTTAAAAACCTCTATAACTTGAGCCCAAAACCTCTATAACATAGACTTGATAACTTAAAATATTTTGTGTTTCCCTTGGTCTTTAACTTATCGAGCTTCTACTGTATTTCAAAATTATACCTCGGAAAACAGACAAAATACAATTAGTACATGTACACACCTGAAACTAAACTATCGCACAACTGTTTAGTTTCGCTTTGATTCCTATGAGCTTATATGGAGGTGTACACTTTTTAATTTTTTACTTGTGCAACTTAACAGTTGAATTGGTTGCGAAACAATTGACAATCGATAATCATATAACAGTTGTGCGATAGTTTAGAGAAAGTTGTACATTTGATAGTTATGTTGAAAAGCAAAAAAAAAAAACAGGGATATCCTAATAAATCCTGCTACGTATTGTTAGACATTCTAGAATATAAACCACCGTGTTTACCTTCTTGATGACACACTCAAGCATTCCCCATGAAGTAACGTCTATTGGTTAAACCCGTATCAAAACCCGTTGTTTTTCAGCTTATCTTCTGCAATACTTCATGTCTTGTGTGACCGGTTCAATTGTGAATGCATTCCGTTTATTATATCCCTAAGAAAATTGTAAATTTTAGTCCCATGACTTTGTATTTTAACACTTCATATATCTGTATACAGCTAACAGATAATAAACATAATTAAAGATCTTTGATAGACCCTTATATATTAACGTAGACATCAATAAGAAAAAAAAATACATTAAAATTACAGTGATTTAAACAACGTCATGTTTCTGGATATGTCTTCCGATATTATAGTTGTCCGTTACTACGCATGTAACAAAACTAATAATAAATTTGTAATAATTTTCCTACAAGGCAGACGTGGCTATATATTCCACTAAGATTGCGGTTACAGTGAACGGCCATACTCTGATTATAATAATATTGAAGTTTGTATTTTTCATAATCGTGAATAAAAAATGATATTTTTATACGGCAAAAGACAAATAAGACGAGAGAGAAGTCGATGACTAATAACCAGGTATATAGGAATGAAAATTGTAATAACTGTAGCCTATTTTACTCAGTGATAAAGTAGCTATTTATTGGTGAAAGAATTTTTAAAATCGGTCCAGTAATTTTCGAGTTATTTCAATATACAAATCGTACCCTATATATTAGTATAGATGTATATAACTCCCTTTGTATTTAAGTAACGCAAATAGGATATCTTGAAAGATCCTTGATATTATTATGGTAATTGCATGCACATGTTTCTCGTTGCAGTCTCGGTTCCAGTTGTTTTGCAGAAAAAGATAAAAAAATTGACGAGATTCGAATATTATTTCCATAATCTTCACTCTCAAGGGCAAATGCTAATAAAATCAGATGTATCACGTTATTCTGTAGTTTAATACGAATTACGAATATTTACATCTCAATTTGATATATTTTATTGCATAACATATAGCTAAAGTTTTGATACTTTAACATTTTACTATAGAAACTAGCTGTTCCCGTGTGGCTTTATCCGCTTGAATTTATGAAAATTTTTTTTTTGTTTACATTTGTCAAATTATTAATTGCAAATGACAAAATGATATGACATGATGACAAACCATGGCAATCTTACTTCCTTGATGTTGGCAGCTGGTAGCTTATGGTCCCTTTCCCACATTAGGGTTTTTATCCAATTTATTTACCCCCTAAGTTTAATAGCTTGAAAATATATGTATATTTATTAATAATTCTTTTACCAAGACAGCTAAGCTCTAGGCTTGTGCTAGGATATGATGTACGACAATAGTTGAAAGGCGGGATTCGAATCCTCGACCATGTGATTGGAAATCCGTTACCCTAACCATTAGGCTATTGGCGCTTAATTACTTATGTAAATAGGTAATTAGATGAGTATATCGAATTATTTGCTCACCAGGTGCTCCTCCATTGCCTACACCGTCGGTGGGTAAGAAGAATTCGTCCAGACGCAACGCCTGGGGCAATCTTTCATATGCCGATCTAATCACGCAAGCTATCACCTCCGCACAAGACAACAGACTTACCTTGTCGCAGATCTACGAGTGGATGGTGCAGAATGTGCCATACTTCAAAGATAAAGGAGATAGTAACTCATCAGCCGGATGGAAGGTGAGTGAAAAAAATTCTTTCTTATTTTTTTAATGATGTTTACTTAAAGATTGTGCATGTAAGAATATTCTGTATGTAAATATTTTATTCCGTACATGAACCTCGCGTCGTTGAGTTCATCTGATGAGGTTGAAAATGTACATTTTCTATTTAATAAATATGTTAATTTTTTTTCCTGTTGTAATTGTTATTGGCTTTTGTAAAAATTTGTCGACTAATTTAATTTTGAATTTGCCTCATTTCGTTTTAATAGAGTACCAATGAAATACTAGACTACATTCAGTATTGTAATAGCCACATGATTAAAAGTACGCACTAGTCTAGAATTAGCCATTTCTACCCACAAGGTAACCCACGTCATAATAGATCGGAAACACGAACGCCGGCTATTACCAATCTGTTACTGTACGCACTTTAAACAAGAATTTAAATAGCACTATTCAGAATTTTATAATCATTATATCATCGCTGACCAAGACTCACTTGTACTTTAAACATATTTTAAGACATAGCACATACTGTTAATAACACGCCAGTATTCATTACACATTGCAGTCACAATTTACCGTTTATTTACTTTATAATTAGCCGTTATCATGATTTGGAAACGATTACGATTGACTGTGATTTATTGATAGGTTTCTGCCAACTGCGCTTATTATGGCCGATATCTTTGCAAAGACAAATATTTGCGATGCATTTTATTCTATCAACGTTGGATATTATTCCGTTATATTAAATGATAGTTCCGAAACTTCAAAAGATGTTGTTTTGTTGTTTATGAAGCATGTAAGAATAAGTAAATAACTATGGACAGGATTAAAGTTTTGTAATGCATTTTAACTTGTCAATCAGATATCATATTTAGTGTCATAAAAACTAATGTTATTGATGAATCATTTGGCCGCGTTCCATTTATCGTAGGAATAGTGGCATCTCGCTACGTAACGTGGTATTTCATAGATTTAGTCGTATAAACAAAACTAACGATTCTTAATTCACCTTTAATGTATTGAAATACTTTTAAATTTTAATTAATTGAAATACTACGAATCTTTACGAAACGTTCTGGTTACTTAGTTTATTACAGTAGAAGCTCGATAAGTTAAAGTCCAAGGGAAACACAAAATATTTTAAGTTATCAAGGGTCTATGTATAGGAAGGGAACATATTATTTTTTGAAGATATAGAGGTTTTTAAGTTACCGAGGTTTGAGTTATCGAGGTTCTTCTGTATATAGTGGGTCTGTACACATTGTTAGATCTCCAATAAAAGAATTAACAAAAGAGATGTTCAATTATATTTTGCCATTCTTCACCTATATTGAAGTAATTAATGTAAACTGTTACTTCTAAACTGATGCAATACTTTTTATTCCCGGCTTATAAATCAGTTATCAAACAATCTTTAGTTAGTTGGTAGAATTACCATCCGGTCAACGTCCTCGTTAACATCATACATGTAAATTATTATTACATGATTAAGCAAATTGCGTAAATAAAAGGATGACAACGCATCGTTAGCAGTATACTCATATTCCAATGTCGTATGTACTTTTTCGCTTGCGCATGTTTCCATGATATATTTTTCGCTGCAACTACGCGATTGATGCGTTAGGACGCACAGATGTGACGTAATGGTGTTGATTTCCTCGTGGTTAAGGAAAGTCGCAGGATGTCGATCATAGGCCATCGTATATTGGTTTGCACTGTTTGGACCTCATTTTGTGTAGTTCGGCAATATTAAGTGTTTTTTTGTGGAATTCGTGCAAAAATAATTAGGTTCTCTTATCTTTGAATGTTTTTGGTATATAATAGACTAACATTTTAATAACGAATATTAATGCAATTAAATCAATTTGTATCAATATTCTGCTTACCATTGACTCTTTAGTGATGTTTTCATTGAGCCTATATTACCTTTTGTCCGCGCATTTCATCCCTATTATTTGTACAATCTATCAAAAGATGTACAAACTGTTGTGATTTTATTTTTATTTAAAAAACAATGACCACGTATTGACTTCATTCAACAGTTTGTCAATATTTATTTTCGTTGTATTTAATGGTGTGCGTTGACAACATAAGAATGTCAGTTGCCTTGACTTCCTCGGATTGTAACTAACTGAATTCCATCAGCTGTTCCGGGGTTAGTTGTGCCAAATTTGCCGCAACGATAGCAATAATATGAGAAGGTTTTTTTACAGCAAAAATAAGATGATGTAACTACGTAATAGGTATGTATTTTTTTGATAATTTATTGTTTATTCAAACCTACCGAGAATTATGCTTAATCGAGTTTCTTATCATTGTGACAGTATTTTTGCTTTTAGATATCCAATAACGCGCAGTATATTCAAATTTAAATAAAACAGAACAACGATAAAGTCTAAAAAACTAGATACGCAAATTTTGTAATAATTAATGGGCGACATATAACGTAGTAGGCAAACCAAGAATCAAATACTACAATTCTTTGAAAACAACGCATTAGAATCTTTCTATGCGAGAAGCTTAGTAATTTCGGTATTGCGCAGTGCCACGTTATCTCACTGCGAGGCGGCGCGAGCGATATTAACGATAATAAAAACATCACGAATAGGTTAACCATATTCTAGAAAATTGATGGACATTTTTGTCACAGTATGTTTTACGCAATAATCTACTTAATTTATCTAAAATCTAATACATAAGTCGAGTTACTGATGCAGCGAGGATGCATCGAAACCAGTAAAATGTAGTAAAGAAAGATGTACAACTCAAAGATCGGGAACGCATCTGTAGTTCCTCTGGAGTTGCGGATGACTAAGGACGTTATTGACCACCTCTATGTTCATGTTATAATTTTCTGTAAGTTTACGAAAATGCATATATATAGCTTATTCTTTTTAATAAACTCCTTACAATATACAGGCAGTCAAAATGCCTTAGTGTACGACATGCGTAAAAGCGGATGCACACATACATGTGGTTTTCAAGGTCCATCAGTTTTATGTTACATCAGTACCATATGGCGTTATTTTATCCGTTTAATTAGCATTTAAGCCACCACAGGTAACTTCAATGGAACAGATAGTAAACAATATTTTAAGATATCTTTATTCTTCGGTGACGTCGGACAACTTTGTGTCATTGATGGAATATTTACGCATACAATATTCATCGCGGCGTCGCGGTATACCTTCTTAGTGTATTTAGTATTTAAACATATGAGCATATGGTCGTTATTCGCTTGGTTCATTTTTCACGGCGAACTAAGCATGGTCAATTAACATGTCCGTCATACTCTCACACGCACGGTCAAGTTGAAAAAAGAATGAGATAGCTGGTTACCTAATTATTACTTAAATAAATTGTAAACTGACATGTGCTGTCTAATTTCAGCGATTGAACTGTATTTTTTATATCTTCCTGGTTATTACTGCGTATACTATGTGATGTTTTGGAAGAACATATGACCATTTCCCAGTTTTCATTTTTATAACATCCGATTTGGGACACTTATGTTTAATAGTATTCATTTTGTTCTAGACTAACTACTGCTCCCGTCTTTGTCCGCTCGTTATAAATATGAAGTTCAAAATATAAACCATGTTAAGTAGTGATATTGTAGCTTTATAACGGTGCAAGATTTTTTGAAATCAGCCTAATAGTTTTTGAGTTATCATATAAACAAAAGTACAAAAATGTAAACCTTTCCTCTTTATAATACTAGTATAGACGAATATTAAAATTATCATTTAACGAACAAATACTTTGCATTGTAAATTTTTATAGTTATTCTTATAATACAATTGGAATTTTCCACAGAATGACGAGATTTTAGAAAGTCTTGCGCACCGAAACATTTCAGACTTGATCAGGTTTTTTTTTGGGATAAAACTAGTTCATTTAAAAAAAAATTGAACTCCTATAAAGTCCTGGCAGTTTTAATTTCGTCGCCTTAGGATTTTAAAAGAATCAATCTGAAATTTAGACTTATTCGATTAAGATTGTTACATTTTGTTAACAAATAATAATCTTACTTCTTACTTATTAATATTATAAATGCGAAAGTTTAGATGGATGAATGGATAGATGTATGGATGGATGGATGGATGGATGTTTGTTAGCGTTTGTAGCCTAAACGGCAGAACGGATCTCCATGAAATTTGGCACAGGTTCAGAGCATAGTCTGGAAGAACACATAGGCTATTTTTACCCCGGGAATAGTTACAGTTCCCGTGGGATTCATTATTTTAGTTTTTTAATGTTTACTCGATCATTCTGCAACGGTTCAACATATCTTATTGAAATTTGGCACAGATATAAAACAAAGTCTGGAGTACACATGGGATAAGCTTCATCCCCGAGAAATGTCGGGTTCCCGAGGGATACGTAGCTTTTTGTAATTTATATAGTTTGTATGTTTTCGAATACCACGCGGACAAAGTCGCGGGCAACAGCTCGTAAATGCTTAAATGAAAACATACATGCAATATATCATCTATTAGTAATAAGAATATACCTAAATCTAAAAGTTATTAAAACCTTATTAAATGGTGTAAACACTAAAGACACATCTATTATTACTGGCCGGATATGGAAATAGTGTTGGTCGCTTGTGCAAAAAAAAATTCGTATTCTTCGTATTGATGTCGCGGTTTGTCCGACTGAATAGCAAATGAACTCTACCGTTATTAAACACCGTTATAAACGCCTCCTCGAAATCTTAACGCGAATCCTTACAACAACGAAAGGCTTAAGGATTAAGTTCCTTTTTCACTCTTTAGATTGCATTTAACTTTTTATTTGAAATTCAATAATCATAGCTTCAGAATCTGAAAAGTTTGTAAGTTGAAATGCCATCATTAAAGAGAAATGAAATTCGATAAGTTGAGATCTACCGTATCGTAATTGATTTTAATTTGAGGTTATTATGAGAGGTATACTAATCTCTTCAGTATATGGATTTACATTAAAAAGAAATCGGGGGAAGAATTGATGGAATAAAAAACCATC